AAAGTAATCTATATAGATTTTTTTCAGTACATCGAAGAAATTTACATGAAATGGTTCTGCAACATCTCCTAAGATCCACAACATCCCAGCATAAACGTATAGGTACATCGGGCAGCAGAGGAGGTACATCGGGCAGCAGAGGCGGTACATCGGGCAGCAGAGGAGGTACATCGGGCAGCAGAGGAGGTACATCGGGCAGCAGAGGAGGTACATCGGGCAGCAGAGGAGGTACATCGGGCAGCAGAGGAGGTACATCGGGCAGCAGAGGAGGTACATCGGGCAGCAGAGGAGGTACATCGGGCAGCAGAGGAGGTACATCGGGCAGCAGAGGAGGTACATCGGGCAGCAGAGGAGGTACATCGGGCAGCAGAGGAGGTACATCGGGCAGCAGAGGAGGTACATCGGGCAGCAGAGGAGGTACATCGGGCAGCAGAGGAGGTACATCGGGCAGCAGAGGAGGTACATCGGGCAGCAGAGGAGGTACATCGGGCAGCAGAGGAGGTACATCGGGCAGCAGAGGAGGTACATCGGGCAGCAGAGGAGGTACATCGGGCAGCAGAGGAGGTACATCGGGCAGCAGAGGCTGGGTGATAGAGTGTGCATCAATAGAGCAGCACTGAAGTAAATCCGTGACCTATGGACAGACAAACAACAGCTGGTACAGTCAGAATGCAACAATCAGTTCCTGAGTAAAAAAAAAAAGTTGTATTTTGAAAATAACACAATGTATTTTGATCTGAGGAGCCAATTAAATTATGGCACATTTATTATTATTACTGTTGTTATTTAATTATGAAACATTTATTGCACCCTTACTTTGGAGGTACATCGGGCAGCAGAGGAGGTACATCGGGCAGCAGAGGAGGTACATCGGGCAGCAGAGGAGGTACATCGGGCAGCAGAGGCTGGGTGATAGAGTGTGCATCAATAGAGCAGCACTGAAGTAAATCCGTGACCTATGGACAGACAAACAACAGCTGGTACAGTCAGAACTTGTAACACTCCAAAGAGAAAGGAAAACTTGAAATCGCATCATATGACCCCTTTAATGCCCCGCAAACATGTACAATCCGGTCAATTATTGCCTCTGGTCTGTTGTCTTTTTCATCCTTCATACTCTTCACCAGGCGCAGAGGAAGTGGGCCATCCAGAATGTGGTACCGGTTCTTCAAGGCACCTATCACTCTCTCTGCAGAGAACATATATATCTGTTATTAAACCTCCATTGTTACTTTATATACAATAAAACTACAACAAGCAACATAATACCTAATGTCTGATTTCTTAAGCATTCATTAAATGGAGAACCGACTACTGACTTAATAATACTTACCAATGTGAATTCTGATGTTAGACGTGACCCGAGAATTTGCCACATCTTGTGCTGACAACTGTTTTTGTCCCCGTGTGAAAAATGGCGTTAAAAGTTGTGCACCCAGAACGGCAAAGTCATCCTTTAGAGTGAACCCTCTGTCGGCAAGAATCTGAAATGACAAAATAAAACTAAGATAAGGACACTACACAAACATATTCCTTTTGAAACAAATGGGAATAGAGCAACATGGGGACAACTTGACTTGAAATGCTTTCAGTAAAAATAGGCAGTTAAACTTAACATTTATAGTAAATGTCCTATGAAAAGATCTTAACAGTGTACAGTACATAACACATTTCAAGTTAAACTCTGACCTGATCTCCAGCTTGGTGGTATCTCGAGGATAGGAAATCGGAGTTCCTCACAATCTGAACATCTGATGCTCTCCGCCCCAGCCTTTGGAGAGGTATGTAATTGCGCCAGATGGGTGACATGCAATGAAGTATTTTACTGTAGTCCAGTTCTTGTATCTGGAGTAAGTGACTGCTCTGTGAGGAGCTATTGACATGCTATGTGCATATATCTTTCTTCATTGAAAGACCAACAATGTAGTTTGTGCAATAAGTGGCCATGAAATATCCTAATGTTATAGGAAAAAAAAACAGTTTTAATGAAATATAACTGATAACAAGAAAAATTGCCCACCTAGTTTTCAGCTTCTTCGAATGATCAATTCTTATCTCGAAACAGTCGATAATCGAAGTAATCCTTGGGTACTGTACCAGCACTTCAGCTGGAACCGTGCTCCGAATGCATTCCCTTTCTGGCCAGGCAATTAAGAAGGATATTTTGGCATACATGAGGTCCAGCCATCAGGTAAATATGTCACTAAAAGTGCTGGGTGCAATATTTAATATGCTACACAATAAATCATTAGTAGGGTTCTGCCGCAGTTTAACCTGAGTAATGAACAGCTGGTCTTCAGTTGGAAGCTTGCACAGGAACCTTGGCTTGACAAACTGCACCAGATACTGATGCAGAATGTCAAAACCTGACCATGACAGGCCTGTCATGACTCTGCAGTTGTTGTCATCTCCTTTCACGCTGCCTGATGAAAACTTGACTTGCTTCAATTGTATGATCGCTTCATCTCTCTCTTTCCGAGCCTCATCCCACTCTCTCCTTAAATTGTTCACCTCCATGGTGAGCTGCTGTATGTCAAGCTGATGTCTCTCTGGAGGGGAGGCTGTGGTTTCTGAAGGGGACATGGGGACCTGTAGATCGTATGGACTCTCCGGAGGCAGGACTGGGGTTTCCAGAGAGGGCACGGGGACATCTGGCTCGTCTGTACTCTCTGGAGGGGGGCGTTTGTCGCTGATAACTAAACCGATGCCTCTCTCGATTTTTGAGACGATCCAGCCTTTTTAATCTTCTTGTAGTCCGCACTCGTCTCTTGGGGAACAACGATGGAACATAGTCCGGGTGAGCCTGTTCTTCGTTTTTTAAACCTGCAGCAAGACAGCCAAAGCAGTGCATTTTAACTGAAAGGAACTGTGCAGCTAAAATTCCTTTTAGTTGTTGTTAAAGATGATGCTAGTAAAGACCTTTGTTCAGATCCTTACGAAAATTAACCATGGTTTTATTGTAGTAAAAGTAACTATAGTTTTCTTTTCTTTTTTTAATTGCCACATTTTTTCTACAAATACATTGGTTAAACTATGTTTAGTGTAGCAAAACCATGGCTAATTTATGGTTACCATGGTTTAACTATAGTAATCATGTTTTTTTGTTTATTCTGCGGGGTTAATTTTTGAAAGAGGAAATAAGCAGCTCTCCG